CACCAGTAAAATTTTATGATAAGGTAAACTTGCTTATGGAGAGAATATACAGCCTCGTCTCTTGGCCAGTTCTTGTTATTCGAGGGAGCAGAGGAGGCTTGGAACCGAGCGCGATAGCGCCACGGCGTCCTCGGCGAATTTTCCGGAAGACCTTAAATAACAATGACCTCAACCAGGTTGTGGCGTCCAGCGGTTTTAGTGAAAACAAGGGTTTGGGTGGGTGGGATGCTCAGTCTCGCGGGCTCATAAAGCCTGGTCTCGGTTATTCTTATTATCGAATTTTCCCGCCAAGCTTGACAGGTGACGTGACATCCGAAATCGCCGAGGAAGACTGGGGACGAGGCTGGAGAATATACATAAGAGTGAAAGAGTATGATTTAACAGAGTTTTAATAGTTTGTTAGTGATTATTTCTTACTCTGTATGTGTACCATTGTCTTCAACTCTGTGGATCTCGTGTAGAACATCAACCGCAGCATCAACAATCAATGCAAACTTGTCCGTGACACAATTGCTATTTGAGCATAAAAAAGCGGAGGATTTATAACTTGGTCAGGACAAAAAATTATTAAATAACAACTAACTTTAGATCCAAATTAGTATAAACCTATTTGGACTTCCCTCTAAATGTTGTTTTGGCTTTTTGCAGCTTTGCTTGTTTTAATTTTAGCTACAAGAAATAGTGATGGTATTTAAAGTTTGTCACCAGTTACTTGTTTTGACTCGTCTGCTGAATCAACCGCGTAAATGTATATGATTGAACCAATTACAAAACTTGACGAAACAAACAACTTTACTGATTCCAAAAAAAGGCCACTTGTATCCATACAATACTACTCACGAAGGTTTAGAGGTTCTTTTCTCTTCACTAGTTTGACAGTATATTTTCAAAGACGTACAGAAAGCTACGTAATGCTAACTCTTCAGAAAGAGAAATTGAAAGCAATGCTTAAGCAAAGTTAGAGGGGCAAACAAAGGTTGAGATGGGACGAAATGGGAGTGGAGAATACTGCTGAAAAAACGCAAGTCCGTTGGACAATGATTCTCGTGGTTTGAATTTAACAACTAATCTTTATGAAGTTAAGCAAAAACAGTTGTATCGTACTTGACATTCAGAGGCAACAAGGTGATCAGAGCCAGAACTGTTAGTTTTCTTCGTTCAAGCCGCGTCATGCAATCCATCTACACAGGAGAATGAAAGGAGAAAAGGAATGTACCTCATGGGCTGAAAAAACAAGTCACAATTAAGCGATCAAGCTGACACGACCGTCGTTAATTGTTTACGCCTATAATTTAGAGCCTTGTTAACGCAACGAACAATGTTTTCCATAAGTCACTTAAGTAAATCTGAGTATGAAAACGTGAGTTATAGGATTACCTAGAGCTTAGGATGTGGTATACAACTTGACAAGTTCCCCAAAAAAGCAATGACTAAGGGGAATTCAAAAAGCAACTCAGTTCCAGCCTTGATACCAGGTATGAGTATCATTTAATCGCCAAGGACCAAATCTTATGCCGAACGTGAAACTTGCTGAAAACAATACTATAAAATATTTCAGTCTTGAGTAAAACGCAGCCAAATTGTCACGCCCCTTATATTTAAAGGACCTGGTAAAACCAAGTTTTCAAACCTGTTACAACGGTACTTACTTTTTCTAACCAAACGTCCAAGAGCTGACCTAATACNAATTGAAAGCAATGCTTAAGCAAAGTTAGAGGGGCAAACAAAGGTTGAGATGGGACGAAATGGGAGTGGAGAATACTGCTGAAAAAACGCAAGTCCGTTGGACAATGATTCTCGTGGTTTGAATTTAACAACTAATCTTTATGAAGTTAAGCAAAAACAGTTGTATCGTACTTGACATTCAGAGGCAACAAGGTGATCAGAGCCAGAACTGTTAGTTTTCTTCGTTCAAGCCGCGTCATGCAATCCATCTACACAGGAGAATGAAAGGAGAAAAGGAATGTACCTCATGGGCTGAAAAAACAAGTCACAATTAAGCGATCAAGCTGACACGACCGTCGTTAATTGTTTACGCCTATAATTTAGAGCCTTGTTAACGCAACGAACAATGTTTTCCATAAGTCACTTAAGTAAATCTGAGTATGAAAACGTGAGTTATAGGATTACCTAGAGCTTAGGATGTGGTATACAACTTGACAAGTTCCCCAAAAAAGCAATGACTAAGGGGAATTCAAAAAGCAACTCAGTTCCAGCCTTGATACCAGGTATGAGTATCATTTAATCGCCAAGGACCAAATCTTATGCCGAACGTGAAACTTGCTGAAAACAATACTATAAAATATTTCAGTCTTGAGTAAAACGCAGCCAAATTGTCACGCCCCTTATATTTAAAGGACCTGGTAAAACCAAGTTTTCAAACCTGTTACAACGGTACTTACTTTTTCTAACCAAACGTCCAAGAGCTGACCTAATACATCATTCACCTACGAAGTAACGTGAACATTAAGCGGTCAAATAATCTGGAACTGACCACTCCAGAAAATACCAAAGCATACCATAGTACTCTTTGTTGACCAGTCACTCCAAAATTTTGCATAAGCATTGTCTTTAGTTTCTCTTGGGAATTAAAATGGCCCCAAGAGAAACTGAAGACAATGCTTATGCAAAATTTGGAGTGACCAACAAAGAGTACTATGGTATGCTATGGTATTTTCTGGAGTGGTGAATTAATAGTGAGCCATGCCTGGATGATTGGTGAATTAATTCATATCTTGACAAGTCTTGTAATCAGCACCTCGTCAGGGTGGGAGACTAGGCTATGACGCCTAGCCTGCGTTGCAGACGTAATTTAACCCCGGTTAGTAACGTCTGCGAGGCAGCGCCGATATCCATGTTCTGGGCCCCCAACGGACTCAACGAATTACCGGAAGTGCGTGTCGAATTTCCTTTCATCTTGATTGGCAAATCGGCAATGGCTTCTATAACAGGCCAATCATGGCACGTACTTAAATCCGGGTACACAGGTGGGGACCCAGAACAAGGATGTTTCGCAGACGGACTTATAACCAGAGTTTTGGTTTCGGCTGCGGCGCAGGATATATGACGGCTAAACTGTAACTATCCAAAGTAGTAAATAAAATGTTGCTCATATAATCCTCTGTGTCTAGCAAGAGTGAAGCAAGTATGGCCCTTTATAAATTTTCGTAAAGAATCTGTACAATAGTCAATTACAAATACGACGGGGACTTAACACCAGCTTGCCACTGAAAATCTTCTCCACGATACAGACTCAAGACCTTTGGTTTCTTGTTTCCTGTATTTTGTTACTTAAGGTTGTGCAGATATTATTATTTGCACCCATTTTCTTACCTGTTTGCCCAGCTGCTGTGCCACATTTTCAACAATGTGAACAAAAGCAGGATAATTGTGCAAGATTATTTCTCCAATAATGGACAGATAGATGACCAGAAGAGGAGTGTATTCCTACGTACAAACAGATCTGTAAGTAAATACAATACCTACACGATGTCCAGGACCAAGATGGAATACCGAGACAACATCAAAAATTTGGGACTCACTGGACAAACTTTCCAAGTTTTACTCAGACCACGAGTTTGTAATGTAATGGTTTGCTACAGACAATAAGGTTTAGTGATAAAGACTATGGAATAAATCTATTTTGGATTCTTCTTTCGTAGTCTCTTCTGATCAGGAAAGACAAACTATATACACAGTACTTAACATTTAATACCATCTGTGTCGATTCTATACTTTGATAGAGGTATCGAATCTTTCATAAAAGAACTGGAAAAAAAAACAAACTAACTAGACATCGTATCAACTGACACACGTTACACTTGAAAAGAGTCTCGCAGCAAGATCCAGACAGTAAAATTACCTCTACTTCTAGAATCATGTGACATATTTTCAGCAAGACCGGTGCAAACAGTTCAGTACCTCTCTGAGGAGAGACTTTTACTATTGTTTCGACAACCTGCAAGAACGAAAAAAAAGCCAGTTTATAGAGCGTAACATGGTCCAAATTGCAGCTTTACTTTAATACTAGGCTACCGACATTCAAGTTTGTATAAACAACAACGACCTGCAAGCGTGAATCGACGAGGTGATATTATAAACGGACAAGGGATTCAATTATGTTAAGCGAACGCTAAAGAATTGAGGCAACAGGGTACAATCTGCTTATATAAATCCCCACTTCAATGCTGGAACAATATATGGGGATCACAACGTCTGCTCGATCCATTTTACTGGCCATATTAGGGGATAAGATCCCCCAGCACATTTATTTGGAAAAACCTGTATAAGATAACTTCTCAGTCCGATAATTAACAAACAGGCTTTACTCCTACCCGAGAAAGGATGATGCCACCTTCTGGCTTAACGTTCCCAAGCATTGTTAAACAAGCGTTAACCACAGGTGCGCTGAAATTCTGTAACACATAAAAATACACACATAGAATGTCAGTTCTTAGCTTGCACACATCAGGGGCCTTTGGACTACAAGAACGACATTAAGTTCAAGTAGGCCGAGTTTCAAACAAAGTTTCTGTGCTTTGGAAAAATCACTTGTCGCACCACTTTTTCTTTCAAATCTTCGTATCTGCTGGTCAGCAAAAAATAAGACGGAGAGTTTTGAAACCGCTACTGCCTTGAAATTCAAAACGCCTAGTAATAGTTAATAAATAAATAAATTGATAATAATAAATAATAAATGGGTGGCAAAACATCAAGAAATTGTTTACCTACCAACAACAACTAATTCAACCCAGAAATGACGAACTCTGCGCTATGAAAAATAGTTTTTTCACTTTTAAGTACAACTCGTCTTCACATGAAAGGATTTACACTTAGCTCCGTTTCGACAGTGAGGGTTTGTGGAACTCGAAAATGGTTATTTGAAGAGTGCTATTGTTACATGTCACGGTGGGCGTTATTAATAAGTCGGTGGGAAGAAGATAAGAGAAACGTAAGTACATGAAACTTGAGAGAGTTCTAGGCACCTAAGAAAAGTCTACAGCTAACACACCTGAAGAAACTCCTTCTCATCTAGCAGGACATATGATTCTATGATCGAAAAGCACTTCCTAAGATTCTCTGAGCCTAACTCTGCAAATAAAGAATGGGTATGGAGTGTTAATGGTCGTTTGCACTTGTACTAACAAGGTTCAGTTGTTCAAATATGGACTGCACTTTCCAGAGGATAAACAATGTTAGCAAAATCAACTCTTCTTTCAACTGTATAGAAATTTATGCGGTAGATAACTGTATCTGTATACAAATGAACAAAAAAGGTCACAGTGGGTTACAGAATTTTTTTACATACCCAATAACGACGGCATGTTGACAAACAATTGCAGTAATTCAGGAGTCATACAGGACGCATTCACCAACACATTGTGCCTTAAAACGCCCAGAAATGTTGTTAGTTGTATTTACATTTCTTATAATGTATATGTTACGGGTCAAAATTAAATTCAGGTTTAAAATTTTTTAACCTGGGTTGATTCTCAATTTCTTGTGTCTCCTCGCACTAACCATGAATAATTATGGCTAGGAGACAAAGAAACTTGATAATCAACCTAAGTAAAAAAAATTTTTACCTGATTTTTTTACCTGTAACAAGAACATTAAGTAGTGAAATTAAGAAGAAAGCTACAGTATTGCAATAGGAAAGCTAGGGAATCAAAAAATCTATCAAGTACTCGATGCTTCTGAATTGAAGAAGTGACAACGACTAAGGTACAGTTTTTAAAAAGACGTTTGAATGTTGAGCTTTAGTTCTAAGAGTTCTTACCAGAGGTCCAGTCCATCCTCCATCAAATAAACATGGGGAGGCTGAAAAAAAATTAATACATAGAAAGAAGAAAGAAAAAAATGATAAAAACGTAAACGTATTAACAAAGGCAAACCCTTTAATTATGGACCGCTCTGTTAAGGTGAGTTTTCTAAATATCTACCCCGATGAAAAATACTCAGACCTTTACAAAGGGAACATCCCCCTCTTTTACGCCAATTATGAGTCCTTCCCCTTGATATCCGTATTACTATGAATATCTACAAGTATCTGCATCCTCTGCCTGGTTAGCTCAAATGATTGGGTACCTGACTTCAGAGCAGTATTCCGGGTCTCGATTCACAGCTTTAACAGCTCTCAGGGTCTTAAGATAACCGGCTAAGGTTACAAGGTGTCATCTTTTCAGTAAGACCTTCTAGTATTCTCGATTGAGGTGGGAAACCGTACCGATCTGGCTCTTGTATGACATTAACACCATTAGCCAAGGTCTATAGACCCTTTCACGGTAATGTCAACTCTAGACTGGGACCAGTTAGCTAAAATCCGTCAACATGACTGGGGCAAGTTCGTGCCCCACCTTACAAACGTCTCTAAAATTCCACGACTTTACGGAGCCATATCTTCGTCTGTGTTCAAATCGAAATTTAAGAGCCTTAAGAACCACGAGAACTGTCTATACCTGAGGAGCGTCTGCAAAGAGAGCTTCAAAGACTCATTGGCCACGACAAGAGACAGTTTAAATACCCGTTCCATTAAAACACCTTTTGTCTCTATTGTTCTCTGACACAACAACACTTCTTAAAAAACTAAAGTAAGTTTTAAGTTTTCTGACCAACAAAGTTTCGGAAAAAGTAATAAGAATAAGTACACCCAAGCAACAAGATATACCTGCGTGATATCTGTGCTGAGATGAATAAGAGGCAGAAGGAACGAGTACATGTTACGACTTAAAACACCCAGACCCTGAAAGAAAGAAGCAAAATTACCACATGGAACTCAAGCCAAATTA